TTTTATACTTGAGGCAACAGAAGCCTGCATTATCTAAGTTATTTGTCAGACCAGGGAAAAAGCTGATTTTGAAGTACCTATTGTTTATATTTTTTGTGACACCGATTATCCTAGGTACAAAAGATTTTTATCTATATAAATAGAACTTGTCATATGCCAACCTAAAATATAACTAATAAAACAAATCACTTCAAGGAAAACTACTTACTCTATAAAATGATTCACCACAAGATTAATTTAGATAGTATCTACATGCCATTAAAATAAAAATGCATAAAATTTTGTGTTCATAATCCTTATTGGAGGTAAACTATTCATAAATCATTATAATTCAAATTTCTCACTTTCATACTCCATTTCAAATCCCATCATTCTTTCCTCTCTAGCTCTGTGCCAATCAGTTCCTGTGGTAAGGGAGCCTCCTCTGATCTGCACCCTGATGGGCCATTTGAGTCTCAGAGTCCTCTCAGGGATAGGGCTGTTTTTCATTCTTTGCCTCCACTCAGCACACTGGCAGCTACGAGATGCTTGTACCTACATGTTTTGTTTTTTTTTTTTACCCCACATTCTCTGGGGTGCCTATTAGTAGCAAATTCCTGAAAAGATTCAGACATTGAAAGCTGTATTGGAAGTGGCCAAATCTCTGGTCAGAAACTTCACTATATTTATGCCTACAACAATCCCGGAGGTGTACAAAGGCAAACACAATGATACCTGCTGCAGCATTACTTGGAAAAGGCAAAAATCAGAAACAATCTTAATGCTTATCCATGTGTCACGACCCATACATGAACGTTCCATGACCGAAAAAAATCAAAGAAGCTATCTACAAACTGATATGGAATAGTGGCCAGGAAACCTTAGCAGAAACTTCCCAGTGCAGAGCAATATATATGGCATGGAGCCTGTGTTTAAACAAATAAACATAAGGAATATATACTAACAGGAGACTGAATATGCAAAAAACAGTTCTAGAATGGGTGTCAGCAAATCCAAGCTACCACCTATTTTTGTATGCTATGAATGGTGTGTGTATATATGTATGTATTTATCCACCCACTTATGTATCTATACATATATATGTGCAGATGCACTATATAGAGATATATAGATACATGCAAGTAATATAGCCACTATATATATATATATGTATATACATATATATATGAGCCTATGTTAACAACTGTATTGCTAATCATGTTATATTTTTAGGCATTTCTCCCTATACTATTTTTAAGTTTTTTTAATTGACAAATAATCATACATATTTATGGGGTACAACAGGTATTTTTTGCTCAATACCTGTATACATTGTGGAATGATGTAATCAGGGCAATTGTAGCATATCCATCATCTCAAATATTCCTCATTCCTTTATTGTGTGGACACTTAAGTTCCTCTTTTCACAATTTTGAACTATACACTATTCTATTCAGTACAGTCACTAGCTAACCACTACAGCACCCGGACTTCTTCCTTTCATACAGCTGCAACTCTGTGCTGTCCACCAAAAATCTCCCTTTTTCCCATCCATGCCCACTACCATATTTTTTAAAGGTTGAAAAAAAAATTAACAGAAGAATAAACTTAAGAGAATAATATGATTTTATTAAAAGTATATGAAATTCAACTTTCAATATCCATAGTTACAGATTCCTTGGAACACAGAGAACATTTCATATTGCTTGCTTGCTCCCAGGTCACTCCAGTAGAGCTGAAGAGTTCTGTTGGGGACTTTATGACCTGTAAAGGGTAAAATATTTATCATCTGATCCTCTGTAGGACAAGTTTGCTCACCCCTGATCCAGAAAATGTATTCCAATTAATAACTATGGGTGCCTTGGAGGCAGGGGACTAGAATATAAGACAAGGGCTGAAAGAAGATGTATGTTTTACTCACAATTCTTTGATGCATTTTTGAATTTTTATAATGGGCATTACCTAATTTAAGAACATGAATTATTAATGTGTTATTAATAATTTTTCTTAAATGATTTAATGAATAATGCATTAAATCTCTGTTGCTCAGGAGAAGAAATGACCTTATAGGGGCATTCTGTCATTGGCACAGATTTCCAAAGTGGTCCTCGGGAGTGTCAGGCGATGAGGTAGCTAGGTCAGTGTGTGTCCTGTATTATATTAACATTAAGTTATAAATGGTCATCTCTGTTCTGAAATAACAGAAAAAAAATAAGGTGCTAAAGGTACTTCTTCCTTTTGATGGAGAAACAAAAATACAGAACTTTTTTTGTGTTTTAGACAGTGTCAAGGATTCTCTGCAGTTACACTGGAAAAGTAAAAATCCTCCCTATGACTTATTGACCCAGGCTTTGCAGGCACAGAGGGGAGCCCCCTGTGGGGGAGAAAGGGAAGGCATCTGGAACTTGGAAAGAAGGCACCTGGGTAGTTCTGGCCCTAAGTCAGCCCATAAGCTGGCACATCACAGGATGTCCCTCAACTTAAGAGAATATTGACTTTTATTAAAAAAATAAAAAGAGGGTGATAGTTATTAGATGTCCTATATTGTATTTCAGGTGCACCTGTTTTTAGAAAAGAATATTTTTTTTTTAAAAAAATGACTTAAATCTGAATGAGAATTTCACTGGGGTTGAGGCTCCCTGGAGATTCCCAACTACATCCAAGGTTCAGAACCCTTACTGTAAGAAAGCATCTTGAAAATTCATATCAGCATAATTTGAAAGAAAATGTGATGAGAAAAAGAAAAGAAATACAATTTATGATCATAACCAAGTAGAGAAAAATATAGCCCTAATGAGAAAAGTGTGGCCTTAGACAAAGAAAATAATGAAACTTAAATTAGTCTTGAATAAATACAGAGCAGTGTCTTCTATGACCAAATATTTGAAGAATGGGAATTTCTCCTCTCCCCACTTCCACCCTCCAAAAAACTTAAGGAATTTTAAAAATTTGATTAAGTCACTTTAAAAGTATAGAAAAGAATAGTTGTACTAATATATCAAGGACAATTGTGGAAATTATGGCAGGAGAGGAATTTAGAAAGATAGTGCTCTGGTGCACCCTGCCTTTCCCTGCATGTACAGCTGCACCCCAAGTTTAGCTCTCTCTCCTGAGCCAGCATCGGTTCAGGCACTGTCTAGGCCCACTGCACACTAGTGTGGTACCTTCACCCTCCTGGCTAGTACAGCCAGCAAAATTCAGTCCCTGGGTAAGGATCTGAAACAGTCAGCTTTGGGGGAGAAAAAAAAATCCTGATCCATTGGGATCCCTGGACTCCCAAGGAGAAGCTAACTTGGGCCAAAGCTTCCTAAACATTGACCAGTCTCACTAGGGTAAAAGGAGCTGAAGAGTAGCTGACAGGGTAGACTTAGGGCTCCCTCAGTCTACAGGCTGAGAAAGCTGTAGAAAGCTGAACGCTTCTTCCCTGTTTCCCAAGCCTTGATAGGAACCTGATAAGTCCCACTGCAACCCAGGGACCTGTCAGGGTCAGAGATGCACTCCTGCTGTCACTCTCACACTCTCTCCCCACCCTCAATCTCAGTTAAGGATTCCCAGCAGCCAAACTCCAGTGAGTAATAAAGAAATATCACCAGATCCTAAGGGGCAGCAGCCGCAGAGAGGAAAATAAACATGGATTATGCAGGTCCCCAGTGACACAAAGCTAACTGGAGCGGACAGAGGTCGACCTGTGACAACCACAACAACATTCTGCAGATGCCTGAAACCACGGGTGGTACCAAACGCCATGTAGACTATGGTTTTTTCCCTATACTATCTACTTATCATAAAGTTTAGTTTACATATAAAGCATAGGAAGAGATTGACAATAATAACTAACAATAAAATAGAACAACTACAACAATACTTTGTAACAAAAGTTATTTAAAACTTTTGAATTATGTTTGGTGTTTTCCACTTAGTGTTTTCAGCCCAAGATTGACCTTGGGTAATTAAAATCACAGAAGTAAAATGGGCCCCAGGGTAACAAATGTAGTATAGTAAGAGTACTTGAGAAAATTCAAGTTCAGCACAAGAAAAAAAAAGTCTTCCTCAAACACTTTTTTTTGAAGTGTATGTATGAAGACATGAATTGAATGTCAACATACCTTATATACAAACAGAGATAAAAAAAATTGTGTTATATATGTGTATTAAGAATGTAATGCAAAAACAACAACAACAACAAAAAGTACATTCATAATGGCAAAAAAAAAAATAATAGAAAATGTCAGTAGATAGATTTAAGCCAGAAACCACTCTTGGTGCTCAAATTCAGTGGCCTGGAAGATTGCAAGAATCAAGTAAGGAAAACCACAAGGGAAAAATATAATCTAGAAATCATAAAGAAAAAGATAAAAGGCTTCTACAGTAAACCCAGGAAACTAACATGTGCAGAGTAAAGGTCTAGAAGAAAATGAAAAGAGGAAAGGGAAGAGAGAGAGAAGAAACAAAAGTTTTTTTAAAAAAAATCTATTCCTTGAAAAATCTCTGAGTTTTTAGATCACAAGTGTCTAATGAATTTTAAGCAATATTATTGAAAGAAGAAATATATTTATGATATTCTTGCACAATTCCCAAATTCCAAACATAAAAGGAAAATCTTGAAACCTTCTAAGTTGAAAGCACATTTGTCTTTTTAAAAAAAATCTTATAGACTTTTAAAATTTTTTCATCTTAGTACTATTTCAAACAGGGAAGGAAAAAAAAGTCATACATTGCTATCAGAAATGTAACTATGAAAATGGCAAATTTATGTTAAATTTTAGGCAGCCACTAAAAAAAAATCATTAAAATTCTTCTGTAGTTGCATGTAAAAGCACAGCTATAACAGCAATTATAAAGTGAAAAACACATTATGAAACTCTGCAGTAACGATTAAAACTTTTAAAATGGATGTGTAAAAAATAAATGAGATAAAAGGTTAAAAGAAGTGATAGGGTTATTTTCCCCTCTGCTTCATAAACTTTCTGTAATATAATATTATAGTGATGATATTTAAGTAATAGTTTGTGTAAAATTCAAAATTTTAAAAGGAAAATTTAAAAGATAAGTAACATGAAAAAACCATGTCCTAACCTATAGATGCCAAGGGAAGGTCACAAACAGCACATGCCCTGCAGCTGGACCAGATGATTCAGGACTCCAGACAGATGTGCCAGGACCAGTTTTAAGATTGATACTCCCTGGGATGAGGTTTTGTCCTAAAGGTCTTTCGGGAGGGGGGGGGGTTAAATTATTTTCACATTACATGAAATAAAAAGATGCCCCAGTGCCCTTATTTGTCTGTGTGTTTGAGCAAATCCAAACCCAAGTTTTAGGGCAAAATCATGTCTTCCTTTGAAGGTATTTCCTTCCCCTCCTCACCCAGTCGGCTGCCTGTCCTGTTTAGGCTTCTCAGAAAAAGAAAAAGAGTCCCTGACAGTAGGAAGCTGACCTGCCAGGCAAGTCCTGGGGTTGCTAGAATGTAATGTCAGACAAGGTCACTCTACTATTGTGACAAAGGTCAGTCGATTACTGTGATAAAGCGAGACACAGTGAGTCCACTCCAAATCATATCTGAGCATAGACAAAAATACGGTCATTGTGAACACCACTGAATCTCTCTCTCTCTCTCTCTCACTGGCTCATAAGAGAGACTGCAGCTTCTTCACAGTCATGGTTTTAGCCGTGCTGATTCCTCCTGCCTTCTGGATAAAAATTCAAATACAAAAGCCAAATTGCCCAAAAGCAATTAATCCAGAGCAAGGTCCTGCTTCCTTGAATTCTTTCCCCAATCTCCTAGCACAAGCCTAAATCTGATAATATCAGCCTCTTGCACCTTCTTCCTACTCTTCCCACATGTTCATAACTCTCAAGGTAACAAGACAAAGACCCCAACTCACTTTGACTCTAGGTTTGTTCCTGGTGGCCCCTGGTTTTAGAGCTATGACAAATAAATGGCACCTTTGTTACTGACTCTGGTCACCCTTAGGGTAAATAGTCAAAATTGAGCTGGCAACCCAGAAGAGCTTGTGGTTTCCTGACATCAAGGAATCCACCACTCATTGTTATCCAGGAACTATCAAATCCACCACTGATTCAGTATTTATCAAAGCCCAGCTGAAAAAGGATAACAAATACATGAAAAAAAGACTCAGTTCCACTAATCATCAAAGAAATGCAAATCAAAACCACAAAGAAATAGCATCTGTTTCTGAATCTCTCTCTCTCTCTCACTGGCTCATAAGAGAGACTGCAGCTTCTTAACAGTCATGGTGGACAAAGAATGACTGCCATCACAAAGACAAGACTAACTGCTGCCATCACAAAGACAAGACTAAATGCTGGTGAGGATGTGAGGAAATGGAGTTTAAATTAGTATATCCTTTATGGAAAACAATGTGGAGATTCCTCAAAGAATCTAAAAATAGGATTACCATATGATCCAGAAATAACATTACTAAATATATATTCAAAGGAGATAAAGTCTTTATACCAAAACAATACTTACAGTCCCATGTTTGTTACCACAGTACTCACAATAACCAAAATATGGAATAAACCCAGATGTTCCTCAGTGGATGAGTGGACAAAGAAAATGTGGTATAGACAATGGAATATTATTCCATAAAAAGAATGAAATCCTGTCATTTGCAGCAACATAGATTGAACTAGATATCATTATGTCCAGCAAAACAAGCCAGATCCAGACAAATGCCATATGTTTTCACTCATTGTGAAAACCAACAACCCAATATTAGAAAAGAACAGAACAGAATAGTGGTCACAAAAGACTGAGAAGAGAGGATGAAAGGGGGATAGAAATATATATTTTTAAGTGGCACCAAAAACAGAGTAGAGAAACCACTCTAGGTTTAGCATGGCAAAACACCCTACAATACATTTCAAAATATCTAGAAGAGTACAGAATTCCCAGCACATGAAAATGGTTAAAGATTGAAAAGATGCAAATGCTTCTCACCCTGATTTGATTAATGTATACATGTATCAAATTACCATAATATATCCCCAAAGATGTACAAATTAAAAAAAAATTAAGGCAGACCTAAAACAAGATGATGAACTAAAATATATGTAATCCCTCTCTTTCTCTAAGACATCAAAAACCTATCCCACAATACAATTCAAGAAGACCAGCAAAGACCTCTCTACCTGAACCCTGCTGTGGCATGTGTGGAGCTGCCACTACTAAATTGAGCTTTTGCAAAATGCCCTAAGAACTTTCCTGACGTCTCAGCACTGTCAAGATGTTGACAATACCACTCTTTACAGCAGTTTTAGAACTCTTGGGAGAAGTTTCTTTTGATGATACCAGGAGCACTTATCCATCTCTTGAGCAGTCAGTTTCTTTCCATTGTACACACAGTGTGAACTGTATAACTGTAAAGCTTGCACTTTCAGGTTGGTTTCTTGAAAAGTGAGTCAAATTTGTGGCAAGACTAGTCTACTTTCAGATAATTATTGCCTCATTCTTGGCTCCCTTTTATATCTCTGCCATTATTTTCCTTTCCCCGTGTGCTGAAATTATGCTATATCGCTGCCTTTTATGTACCTGTGTGAACTGCCTGAAAGTTTGTTTTTTGAAATTGGGTAGACTACAAAGAAAGAAAGAGAAATCAAGACTGAAAAACTGTGGCACAAATTATAAATCAGGGTGGGCATTTAGAAGAAGGTGCAAGCACTGGAAGAACAGTCAAAAAACTGGGGCCTGGACAGGTGGAGGATTGAGGAAGTACATCCCAAGTTGGAGGAGCAATGGAATGTGCAGAAAGTAGAACAATAAAGAGCTGTGTCTGGCTGCCTTATCCTGAGATAAGCTGCAGGATAAAGAACAGGAGGGGGAGATGGAAGAGGAGGCTGAATACAAGAAGCAAGAGTTTAGGCTTGATGTCAGTTACCTCTAGCCTTTATGTGTGTCTAACATACATTATTGCCCTCATCCCCCACTCAGAAATCAGCAATGGAGATGGCAGAAAGAGTAACTGTATTTGTCTGCTAAGGTTGTCACAAATGCCACTGAAATGCATTTCTTAAGCCAGGCACTGTGACACATGCCTGCAATCCCAGTGACTCTGGAGGCTGAGGTGGGAGAATGGCAAGTTCAAAGCCAGCCTCATCAATTTAGCAATTATGCTGTCTCAAAATAAAAAAATAATAATAATAAAAAATATGAGGATAATAGTGGTAAAGTGTCCCTGAACTCAATTTCTGGTGCCTGATTTCTTCTGAGGCCTCTCTCTGTGTTTGTAGCTAGCCATCTTCTCCTTCTATCTTTACATGGTCTTTCATGTATGTGTGTGTGTGTGTGTGTGTGTGTGTGTGTGTGTGTTTCCTAATATCCTCTACTTATAAGGACTATTGGTTTCATAACCTCATTTCAAAATCCCAAGAAACAATCCTTCTCCCCAAAAAAACATAATCCCAAATGTTGAAAGTCCCCAAACCTCAAAATCCTAAAGTCTAATATCCAGAAAAATCACAATCCAAATAAATAAAATCCTAAACATTGAAATATTGAAAACCAAATCACCAAAACCATAATTTCCATAGGGGTTAAAAAAATTCAGAAGAGGGGTAGAGACATGAATTCTAGGGAAGGGATTGAGCACACAATATGCCAACAATGAGAATTTCAGTTTAAACCTGTGTCACTTTTCTGCGTTGGCATTCCTTCCAGCTGTTGAAATTCCCTGAGCTTTAATGAATTACAGCTGCATTGACCGGAAGAAAAGAGGAAAGCCACTGACTGCTTTGAAAATACTGTGTGCAAGATGAGATAGAGTTATTTATGTGACAGTGTTGCTGTTGGATCACCAGCACTGTTTCTGCCAAATCTGCAGTCAGTCTGTATAGAAATACACACAGAGTGGTTTTCCACGTACCCCAAACAACCTAGAATCATGGCACAGAAGATGGAGAAACTTAAAAGGGAATGCTCATGTTGATGTATACAAAATGATAGAAGAATTTCAAAAACAGCAGTGCATTGTAAGAAATGAATGTGAAAATAATCTCTGAGGACAAACATACCCTAAAAGAAAAGAGCACCTTTCGTCATGATACAGTTACCAATGGTGAAGTTTATCCAGCCTCAGACCACCTCTATTATGAAATGGTCTGGAATCTAGACCTGCCTGTGATACACTTTCATATGTTGAATTTTCTTTTTCAGTGTTTCTTTGGGGGGGGGTTCCTTTCTATAAAGTTTTTCCCTTTTCCCTTGCTATTTTAAATTGTTAGCTTTTTTTTTTTTTTTTTACAATTTTTTTTACATTTTCCACCATTTTCAGGACTAGTACAAATTGACTAAGACTTTTCAGGAATTCCAATTTATTTTATGTACTGAAAGTTTTTTTTCACTCTGCAAAAGTGCATCACCACAATGTTGACTTTGTGTAGAAGCATCACACATGTATGTACAAACACTGAAAACTTCCTCTGTGAATGAAGAGAGGTCCTTTTTATACAGATGCATTTGTGAAAAATAAAAAATTTCTTGAGATCTCAGCTCTTTGGACAACTGCACCTGGAAAGTGACTTATAGTGGTATTTGGACAGTCTCTTGAAAAGCTTAGGTTACCCATCATAGTATTTCAGATAATTGCAGTTATAAATCTGGGTGCATACAATTAAGGAACACAGTGATAAGCACTTATACATTTTGTTTTTTGAACTATTTTCTAATAAATAAGTGTATCTTCTCAAAACTATTATGCTCGAGTGACTGTCATTAGAAAACTTAAGTGTTTATACTTGCAAAAATGTTATTTTCCCTTTTAGTCTGTAAAATAGTCTATGATATGTTCTATAATAATCTTATATATTTCTCAAACAAATCCCCTCTAAAAAGGTAAATAAACATCTTTTAAAGCATTTTTTACAATAGCTTTCTCCAGAATAATATTTTTGTGATTTTGATCTTGGGGTTTTTAAACTTGAGGAACTAGGATCTTTGGGAATCTTTGGAATTGTATCTCATAGGATTATGGCCCAAACCTGTTTACAGTAGCCACTGCCTCCATAGTGTGAGGTTTTGGGGGTTAGGACTTCAGCACATGAACTTCTAGCAGGCAGTTACAGAAGCTTCTGGAGAGGGCACAAAGCAGATGGTAGCTAAGGCAGGATCCAGATGAAAAATGCAACTTACCTCTGTGAGATGTGGCACCCACTGTTGGAAGGAAGCTGGGGTAAGTGAGCATTTTGAAAAAGCACTGGCCACTCACCCTGACCCCTGAAAAATCAAGAAGGGCTCATCATTTCCAAATAACTCGAATCAATATTGAAAAGTTGTGTTAGCTGATCATTGCTATCACCAAAATACTTGATATGAAAAACTTATTGTTATTGGAAAAAAGTTATTTGGTTCATGGTTTTGGAGGATTCAGTTAATGGTTAGCTGGCTCCAAGGTGGCAACATCATGGCAGAAGGGCATGACTGAGAAAAGCTGCTCAGCTCATGGTGCCACGAATAGAGAAGGAAAGAAAGAGTCAGAGAGAAGATGAACTCTTCCAGGGAATACCCTCGGTGACCTACTTCCTCCAGCTAGGTGCCCCCTCCCAGTAGTTCATTCAGTGGATTAATCCACTGATGGGGTCAGAGCTCTCACGATCTAATCAGTGGATTAATCTACTGATGGGGTCAGAGCTCTCACGATCTAATCATTTCCTAAAAGCTCCACCTCTGAGCACATGAGACATTGGGAGATATTCCAGATCTAAACCATAACAAGAGGAAAGGGTAAAATTTGGGCTAATGAACATGACAAAAGAATTTTATTGACAATGGCTATGAAGAAAACCGCATGCAATTTATGATTTATTCTCAAATACAATGAATGATAAAGGATAAGTAGTGACTCATGATAATATGTTGTATCTCACCTCTAATCTGGTGGTGAGAACACAATCAGTTTCACCTGGAATGATCACCCTCTAGTTTTATCTACACTGTATTCCATGGATACTTGTCTGGCTGAGATGCTTAATTCTCCCTCTTTTGCAGGAGGGCAGTGCTGGGAATCAAACTCAAAGCCTCATGTGTGCAAAGCATGCACTCTAATAGTGAGCTACCCTCCCAGTCCCCATTCTCTCTTTTCTAATTCTCTGACTAGTTTTCAGAGAATTTCATAAATTTTGCTATTATAGCATCTCAATGTCTTTAATTGACAATGCACCAAATTGATTTCTGTGAAAGTATGACTTTTCTTATTTTCAATTTTCTCCATAAAAAAAATGTTGGCTGCTTTTTACATGATCCCAATTAACCTTGCAGTAGCCTGAGTGGGGCTGAGCCCCTCTTCCTCTCTAACCTGAGCATCAGGCTGGTGTTTTGGCTGCTGTGTGTGCTTCCTAGAAGTAGCATTCTCTCCATGAAAACATCATTTCTGGCAAAATCCTCAAACTGCAGCCTGCTATGAGTATGGGAAGGAAATGTTACCTTCTCAACAGGATGAATTACTTCCTATTATGGAGCCAAATAAAAGACGACTCCTTCATTAGGAAGGAACAGAGAGACCATGACATTTTCTGTGCTACCTATTAAATACCCTGTTTACAAAAATAATATCTAATGTTATAGTTCAGTCATTTCAACATTGGGTTTACTAGATTAGCAAGTATAGTTCTCTTCTTGCTTTTATTGTAATCCTTTCATATAGATATTTGTCATTCTGTAACACTCCATCTATGCAACATTGCATGAGCTCAGGGCTATTCCTAAAAATTACACCCATTATAAATTTAGTTGAGTGAGGTTTCCTTCCTTATTCTTTTAAAGGGACATTCTTTCCTAACATTAATAGATAAAAGTAGATACCATATCCAACTTGAGAAGGCTTATACTTGAGGAATAGAGAATAACTGAAAGCTATTAAGAAAAAGCTTGTAAAGAAATGCTGGTTGTAGCATTTGGGGCAGCACAGTGTGGGAAAGGGCTGAGAGAGTGGGGTGATTTAGGTGGCCTTTAGGACAACCTGACATGGTAGTTCAAGTTCTTGGCCTTCCCAGACCTAAGAGAAAATAAAGGACCATAGGAACAAGGAATCTTAGAAAATAACTACAGTTAAGAAGAATAAAAAAAATATGTCAGCTAAAAGGACAAGATGGGACCATTGAGGAAAGATGATATATAACCAACATTTTGAGCTAGAAAACGTTTAAGATCTTATAGCCCAAATTGCTTTAATTTTTGATGAGAACTCAGACTTCAGAGAGAAACCTGCTGTCAGAGTCTTTGGTTCCAAACTCTGCACCCAGTGCTAGAAGGCACATCAGAATACCCTGGCGAGGTTGTGGAAGATATGAAGTTCCATTTGGAAGCAATTTTGCCTCCAAACATCTTTCTGTGAACTGTTCTCTAACCCAATTAGCTTTCCAGCCTGGCCCCGTTTTGATACTGATGGGGTGAACGACCATGATTTACACTGTCATTGCAACTGCTCAGCATCACCACCTGGCTCCCTCCACTGACATTGGTGGCTCTGATTTAGTGATATTGCACTTGTTGATGGGAACGAACAACTGCCAACTGTCTGAAATAAGAAAGAAAAGTCAATAACCTCCCTATCCAGAGAAGGGCAGGAAAAGACAGGATATATACTAAACTACCTCCCATCACATTTTTTTCTTCATCCCTCACTAAGAAATAAACATCTTGCTTCTGGGAAGATCTTGTGTTTTAGGGCCCACCATGGAAGGTCAGATTTGGTGCTAAGAGAGAGGGAAGATGAAGGAAGCTCACCTCACAGCAGGAAGATTGAGGAAGAACACAACACCTGCATTCAAATTCCAGGCCTGACACTTTCTGGCTAAGACTTTGACTACTATTTAGATTCCTTGGGATTGTTTTCTCATCTGCAAAGATCCAGAATAATAAAGATTCTTTTGCAGGTTGTAAAGAAGAAAATATGCAATGAATCTGACAATATTTAAAAAAAATGCTTTAAAAACAGCAGCCATTATGGACATTAAAAGAAGTAATATTTCAAAATGTGCAATACTGCCAAAGAATATTGAATATTGACCAAGCGTTTGTGCCAGGAATGGCCAAACACACTTGACATGAATTACCTCATTGAATCCCCATATCTGTTTTATGAAACAGATATTATTAACCTGGCTCAGACAGGTGCAACCATTATACCAAGGTCGCTTATCTATTGAGGACTGGCTTCAGCTGTCATACCCCAGGTCTGTTTTACTCCATAGTTTCTAGCAGATGGCAGTTTTAACCATGTTTCAATGGCCCAGGCCGGGGCATTTTTCAAGGAATATTGTTATTTCCCTAGACTTTTATGACCTTGCTGTTAACTGGCTCGTCCTGTGAAGTTGTTACTTTGAAAACAGTCTAGGTCATTGCATATTTTCAGCTGCCTCTCACAGGGAATTAGAGATGAATTTACATTTAGTTTAGCTCTTATATTGTGAAAAACAAAATCCTACTTTCAGGATGTTTCATTGAGAACTCTACAAGTTCTTGGCCCTTGGATCAGAGCAGAATGGGTACTAATATTCTAAACTATGCATTTTCCCTCCAACAGATAGGTAGGTAGGTAGGTAGGTAGGTAGAGTGATGGATATAGAAATTTATGTTCTACAGAGAAACAAAAGCAATAGGATAGATGGACACACATTTATTATGAGGAACTGGCTTACATGATCAAGGAGACTACGTCCCATGATCTGCAATCTGCAAGCCAGAGACTCAGGAAAGTTAATGGTGTAATTCCAATTGAATGTGAAGGGTTGAAAACAAGGGGAAAGTTAATATAAATCCTAGTCCAAGGCCAGGAGAAGACCTCTGCTGCAGCTCAAGTAGGCAGGCAGAAAGAAAAAAGGGCCAATTTTTCCTTCCTCTCTGCCTTTTTGTTCTATTCAGACTTTCAATGGGTTGGATGATGCCCACTCATATGAAGAGGGCAATTTACTTTACTGAACCCACCAATTCAAAGACTAATCTCATTTGGAAACATCCTCACAGACACACCCAGAAATAATGTATAATTTGGACACCATGTGGCATAGTCAAATTGATAAATAAAATGAACCAGAAGAATAGATACAGACATAGACACAAATAAAGATATGGAGAATATATATACATACACACACACACACACACACACTCACATATATATAGATGAATGTATAATCGCAAGGACCCTGTGTACTTCTGTACCTCTATGTGTGTGTGTGTGTGTGTGTGTGTGTGTGTTTGCTACCTACATTTTTTCCTTTTTAGCACCAAATTCATATCATACACCTTAAGATCCCTTCCCAAGGTGAGAAGACTCCTGGGCCTTAATTATTTTTGCATAATTAATACATGTCCTTGTAATTTCCATTGGTAATATCTTCCTGTTTTCTTTCATATTCTATGGGCAATCATTCATTTCCTACATATTAAGTTACCTAGTTTCCTTTACCTTCAAAATCTAGCTGCAATTTTGTCTCCTTCACTTAAAATGAAAACACATACACAATATACACACAAAATGTTTTACAGTTAGGATACTAGAATTAAAAAAAATAAACAATAACTCCAAAGAAGCCAAATTTTGAACCAATCTACTGTCAATCAAGTTCCTATATCATAACTCCTATATTTTGCTGCCTCTCACCAATGTAAGGCGAATATCATTAGAAATTATAATGATTTGAAAGTAAAATAGAATCACAGCCTCTGGTACAGGAGTCCTCTATGTTTCTCCTTTGCTAACAAAGCAATAAAATTTCTTTTTCTTTTTTCTCAAAACCATGTCCTCAGGCTGGGATTGTGGCTCAGTGGTAGCACTTGCCTAGCACGCATGAGGCACTGGGTTTGATCTCCAGTACCACATTAAAAAATAATAATAAAAAATTTTTAAAAAGGTATAAGAAAATTATAAAAAAAAAAATCCTCATTATTGGCTTGGCATCAGAGACAAAGACTGAATTTTGGTAACAAATTTGGAACCTGAGAGCAGCCCCTTCTCCAGCTTTCTTGGCCAGGCCTGGCTGCCCAAGGAAACCCACTTCCATGCTGATGGTGCAAGGTGGGTGGCTCTCAACTGCAAGAGAGTTAGGAGATGGTGAGTTTGACTAGGGTCAAATCAGAGGAGCTGCTCCTGTGAGTAAAGGAAGGGACTGAGACCATCCCAGCAGCTGCCAAAGCTCCTTTTGCTTTGGGAAATTCCCACCTTCTCTCCTGAACAGTACAGGTGGCTCCATTATGGTCCACTTTGAGAATAAGGA